TGACGAAACTCTCCCTCGGCTTCAACTGGATCAAGAGTACAAGGGATGCCACCGAGCTGAACGTGTGCAGATCATGGAGGTGATGTGCGTTCGGTGCTTGATCGGTTGGCTCGCGAAGACGTTCGACTACCTCAACCGCGTTTCTTAACACTTCCGCTTTCGGTCTACAAGGGTACGTAGACATACTCTCCCCTCTCGTTGCTATGCATCCGTAGATAGATCTTGCGTGATTGTAGGATTTTTTTTAAATACTGCATTCCCCAACAGGAAGGCCTCACCACCGGGTTATATCAAGATAAATGTCGACACAAGCTTTGTGGAGAGCATCATCGCTGCAAGTGTGGGTGTGGTGGTCGGAGATTCTTCTGGGAATGTCATTATATCTTCTTGGGATTTTATTGGATGCCGTAAAAGTGTGGAGGAAGCAGAGCTAAGAGCATGCATTGTCGGTCTCTATATAGGTATTACTCTTCACAATCCTATAGTTTTAGAGACTGACTGTACGTTTGCTATTGCGTCCCTTGCAAATGAGTTTTTTAACAAGTCCTCTTTGTTCGATTTGAAGAACCAAGCAATGAGTATCTCCAAGCTGATTAATAGTTTATAGATTAATAAGATTAGCCGCTCGGCCAATGGGGTAGCACATTTAGTTGCAAAGTTTTGCTTTGACAATAGATCGAATGGCATTCTTGTTAATGATGTTTCGCCTTGTGTAGTGAATTATGTAACGAACGATTGTATCGTCTCTTGTGATTAATTAATATAAGAGGTGGTGTTCAAAAAACAAACAGAACGAAATAACCACTCTCACCTTCAAGGCTTCAACCATATTTGATGATAGTGTTGCCGATCATTCGAGTATGTTTTTACCAACCAATGAAATGTTTTTCCTGAGAAAGTGATCGGGAGAATATTGTTCAAATTTTTCCGCCGCGGCCATCATTTGACACATCGAGCAATAGATTTGATCTTTAAATCCATGAGATGACCCCCTTGTAAGCTCCCCTTCCAACACACACACCTGCGCACACACACCTGCGCACACACACCCCCCCTCCCACCCACCATACACACATGCTGAGCAGGTGACTCGACGCAGTAGGAAACAATGACCTTGCCAGACAGTGTGAGGAAAAAACTATGTTATTTTTACGTGAGTTTGGCGCCTCTTTCTCGTATCCTCATGGCGCCATTAATAAAGCCTAGTCATTTTTTACGTGGGTTTGTCGCCTATTTCTCGTATTCTCTTGATGCGATTAATAAACTTGACGCCTCTTTCTTGTATCCTCTTAGCGCCATGAATAGAACCTAGTCACTTTTTACGCAGGTTTGATGTCTTCTTTTTTATCCGCGTGACACGTTTAATAACCTTTGGCATCCCCTTATTGTAATATTCCTTACGCAGTTAATAACATATAGTTGTTTTTACCTTGGTTTGTTTCGATCCCATGATATCATCATCATCATAAAAAAAAGCTATGATAATGTGCTTTATTGATTTTAAATCAGGGTTATGAGCTTTATTGACCCAATTACAATCAAACTTTTGCTGAAATGAAACTAACTATATCTCATAAACTGTTCATTCACTTTCTTAACACAATGACTAAAGTCGACCTACCTAAACAGGTTTTGCCACCTATGCTAAAGAAGAAAAACAAAAAATACAAATATATTTGGCCAGATCACATTTATCTATCTCTAAACATGAGTTCCTCTGTAGACACACCGCAAAGTACACACAGGAAAACTATGAACGTCCGATCTAGCAGACTAAATCACATCCAACTGCCCACGTTACATCTATGAGTTCAACGGTTGAGATGAAATGTTCTGCCGGCAGACCTGTCCTCACACGATCATGCCAAACAACCCAATGCCCAACGATCGCTACATCCCAAAAGCAAATTACGAGTTGTTTCCTTTTTTCCTTGATGGTGATTAACTGATGACCCTGCATGCAAGGAAATCAATCAAAGCTTGAGACGATAACGGAGCTAGCTATGCATGTAGCCCGTCCAAACATTGCGCGGATTTGTTTTAGATCCCCACACCGCCTTCCACCTAGGCTCCTGGGGCAAGGCCGCTTCCGGTCAAGCTCCTCGATGTCGCAGGAAAGTGCCGCACTGATCCCTAGGGATCCTCGCTGAAAGGTACGAACCACTGATGACGCACCGGTTGGGCACGATCGTCGTGAATGTCGCCTCCTTCGCCTCCACAGCCCGGGATCGACGCTGCTGCTTTCGTCCAAGTGGCATCATGGGGACGTGTTGCAGCCGCGGCTGCGGGACACTGTCCTCGGCATGCTCCGTCGCATATCGGAGTTCCTCGGCATGCTCCGTCGCATATCGGAGTTCCTCGGCATGCTCCGTCGCATATCGGAGTTGGCGGCGTCCGGCCTGCCCGTGGAGGCCGGCCATCGTCGGCCACCCGGCGTTCGCGTCCATGATGGACCTGCAGTGCTGTGTCATGTTGTCGGCCGGCCTCAGAGAGCCGACATCCCGTGTGTTGCATGGCTTCGCGCGGGAGGCCGTGGCGCACTCCCTCAGGCACAACGTCTTAGACTTCTTCCTTGCGCTCGCGACAGCCGTCGTCCGGCGCTGCTTTACCACACACTTGACGGTCTCTATGGTGTGTGCAGCACCTATAACAACAACGTCGGCGCGCACAATGGCCCTTGACGGTGTTCGCCTCAATTTTCTAGACGCCCTATGCTCCAGTGCCCTCCCTGCATGAGGTCATCTCGGGAGTGTCCCACGACGGCGCCCTGGACGGCTATGTGTCCAATTCCTGATTCCTTTAGCTATTTTTTTTCTTTCTTGGGTGTGCCGTGCCCGCACGACCATCTAATTCCTTCTCGCTCATAGTTGCCAGCACTAATGTATGGTTTGAGAGAAGCAAGGAGTACAAGATTAACCTTTTAAACTTTGGAATATACAGTTTTCATGTGAGTCCAATTGTTAATGTTTTACAAAATGAAATAACTATGTAGAAATTCCCTGTGATGCTTAATTGGTTACTTATTTCTCTCCTTTTTCATCGTATGCAATATACAGTTTTAATGTGTAGTCCAACTGTTAATGTTTTACAAAATGAAAGAACTATGTAGAAACTCCCCGTGATGCTTAATTGGTTACTTATTTCTCTCCTTTTTCATTGTATTCTGATTGACAAGATGCTCTTGAACCTATGAGAAGAACATCAACTCTTTAGGTGCTGCCATGAAATAGCGACAACTAGCTTTGGATGCAACATGTGCGTCCTAGAGGGCTCTGCTATTTCTAACAGTCAAGCATGGTTGCTTTGATGCAATTTCTAGAAAGTTGAATTGTACATATCAGATGGTGCGGATATTCACGTGTGCAGTCATATGGCAAGATGAATGCTATTGTCTGATGAAGAACAAGGCACTTTATATTGTGGTGGAAGTTATATTTGACCAGTTGACCAAGGTATGTCCACAACCTCATGTGTAATATACACACATTGATAAGAATCCACTTTGATCACCACTGATAAGATGGTTGCTGCAAACGCCATTGTGTATCAAAAGATTTCAGAATAGAAAAATAAGGGCCATTTTAGCTCAAGCCGTAGCAAGATGAAACTCCACCACGGTGGTGTAGACGTGAGTAAAATCTTAATCTAAATCTCTAGACTTTGTCATTTCTTTTTTGCGGGTTAGACTTTGTCACTTTGACTCTGTGTACTTGTATATTTGCATGTCGTGCTTATTATTTTGTTCCATCAAAGAAAGAGTTTGTAGTATTCATGTTTTTTGTAGTAAATAAAGACACTAAGGAGATGACAAGTAAAAATATATTTAATTTTTCATGCTACTCCCAAGGTGAGAAGAGAAGTTGTGTCATTCCTGATTATTTTTATGATCATTTTTGTTAAGCTACGGTGTGGTAATATTTATTCTAAGCCATTGCTATTAATACACAGTTGGTTTTATCTAAAAGTCTTTAAATTTAGTAAAATTTCACAGTGAAAAACACAATTTTGAATTTAGAGCAATCTTGAGCAAGACAAAGAATAGAAAAAAGTACGTGATCAAGTAATCTAATCTAGATATGAAAAACTTGTGGACAACATATTGCATTGACTTGTTTTTTAAGGAAAACGTGCGTTGCACGTGCATACTAACTAGTATCTATATCTATATCTATATCAATATAAAAAGACTCAAAGGGGCAGATTTAAACCATCTCGGCCGTCAAATCATGTTATCTAGCAGTTTAAATCGCTCCAATGTTGAGCACCAAACACATTTAACACTCTAATTATCTATCACTGTCATTGGTTATAAACACGATTTTGACGCTATCCCATGAAATCTGCCATGTAATTAATACCCTACCATTACCTCGAAAAAAATAATTGATATCTTACAAAATACCTACATGCAATAGATATATTTTACCTGATATAACATGCAAATAATATCCTATCTAATATAAACGTGCATTGCACGATTATTATTAGTAACCCCATACAAAAGCGAATCCCTGCAGAAACCGAACAAATCCTCAATCCATCAGATGCCCAAAAAAGTTAAACCAGCTGCCTTTGAAAAAAGCGGAGAAAAAGAAGGAGAGAACCTCTGGTCCACGAGGAGGAAAGCGGACACCCTTCTCTTCATCCGGCCAGACCTCCTGCTTCTCCGGCGGCCGGAGCGCCGGCGCGGTGAGCTCTCCTCTTCCTTCCCTTCTTTTTCTTCCGAGCCCTCAAAACCCCCTTCTACCGCATCCCGCGCGGTGACTGTCCTCTAGCCGGAGATCTCTCGTCATCTTCCTCCTGGTCATGCCTTCACTTTGCTCTCTGCGACCGATCTCATCCAAATCTGCCTCTCCTTCCTCCCAGTTCGTAGTGGATTTGTTTGCCGCGTGGTGGAGTAGAGACCAGAAACAGTTTATTTTCCATAATTTTGGGTCTTCAGCCGAGCCCCCCATGCCCCCACGTTAGCTAGGTCTGCCCCTGGCCTTATCCTTTTGGGAATGTCTTTTATTCTCCCGAATTTCGGGAGTACATATGAACCCGCATGTACCATGTTAATGATTGCTAGGCTGGAACTGGTATTGCTGAGCCCGCTTTCCAATATCTGGGTGTTTGCCCACCTTTCTTTTGTTGCACATCAAACATAAACTTCAGCTTTATTTTCCACACAAGTTTAAAACATGAGCACACAACTTGTTTCCAAACTGTTAAGCGAAACAATTAATAACTGTCCTAACAAGGGGGCAGACTCATGATTCTGTTTGCCAGAATGGGCAGGATAATAGTCACTATGCCATGAGGCTTATACATGTTGTGATTTCTTTCGTGTAAATGCAGACCATGATCCCGATTACAATATCTAGAGTCAACCAGTTTGACGCTGCGAGGCTTGATGTTGAAATGTCCGCCATGTTGAAAGAGCAGTTAGTCAAAGTATTCTCTTTGATGAAGGTACTTTCTCCAGTAATCATCTTGATTTGGGCGTTCCTCTCATGGCTTGCACATAGTGCGTTGCTGCTTATAGCTTCAGTGCTGATGTTTTTTGTTGGTATCAGCCAGGACTCTTATTTCAGTATGAGCCTGAACTCGATGCGTTCCTTGAGTTCCTCATCTGGAGGTTCTCAATTTGGGTAGACAAGCCAACCCCAGGGAATGCACTCATGAACTTGAGGTATAGAGATGAACGGGCAGCACCGATCGCAGGAAAAGAGGGTATTTGACCATGCAATTTTCTCTCAACTCCGGTCTGCTTTGTGTATGATATGTTTTTGTGCCTTTGTTCATGGTAATCGTGCTGATTAGAGTAGTAACATGATTTGAATTGTTCTCAATATAACTTAGATTGTTGAGTGTGTACAGGGCGACCAGCTGCTTGTGACTGCATTCTGATCTGTGCATCGCCGTTGCATCAGAATACCCTTATTTACTTACTTCAGTTGACTCACGTATGAGTATATGACGTTGAAGTTGGGTTGGGCCTAGCATCCTTAGGTGTGAGCTTTGTCTGCAGCTAACTCAGGGCATGTGTGTTTTGGATTCTATAATATCCATTGAGCATAAACACAACGAAACACCCTATGACCGCACCTATAAAAATTCTCATTACCAGTACAATAGTAGATTCTGATGTACGTACCAAACCCCATCTCTACCTCCTGTGCCATATAATGTCCTTTGGGCGAACAAGATACAGTGTGCAGATACATGTTGTTTGACACTTTCTATGTATCCTTTTCCCAATGTATTCAAATGTGAGAGGCACATTTGACGTTTATGATCTGAAGTGACCTCAGATATGAAGTAAAGGTGACTTTGCCCGAGAATCATTAAGCCCAGACATAAACTTAAAGTATTTAGATGATAATTATCATTGGATAAAATATGTTGTTGAAAATCCTGTTGTTACTGGCATATTAATGTTTTGCTCAGTTAGGAAACTATTTTCAACCAAATTAATTTGTAAGGGACAAAACCTAAGGCTTTCTCATGTTTATACCCAACTAGCTCAGAAATTTTATGTTATTAATTCACGATCTATTGAGTACCAGACGGGAAGGCCTATTTGGTGCCATTTTTTCTTTTGCCACTCATTGCCTCATTGCTGTTGCACCTGGTTGCCTTCATTTTGGGTTTGGCATCGAGCGCCAGGTCGTACCCCAGTGGTACATCAGCTTCTAACTTCTTCATCTCCACTGAGCACGAAACAACACACTTAAGCCCCCCAATTAGAAACGATCAATTGAACAAAGAAGCAATTTTGATGTGGTAAAAGTTTAGGAGGGAGGGGCAAAGACTCACGAGACTGCCCTTAGACAACCCCTTCCTAGACGCAGATGGAGTAGAGGCCAATGGGCTCGTGAGCATTCAGTCAGGGAAGTGAGTTGTCATGATGACATGCAGCACCGCTGCTCGTAGCCTCTGCCGTTGCTAGCAGTGGCAGATTGTCTGTGGCACCGCAGCTGTACATGGTATGGAGGGGAGAATTAGTTGAACCAGTCCCTGGTTTGGACTTTGTGTGAAATAGCAAATATGTCTTCTGGTGGGGATTAAGGACGGAAAACTGAAGTAATGGAAAATCATGAACATATTACATTGAAGCAGGTTAAAGAATCAACTACATTGGGAATGAAGGTTAATCCTCGATTGCAATCTAAGTGGAGGGCAAATAATTGACTTTCCATTTGTTAACTGTTAACGGTTTAACTACTTGACTATTTGTAATATTATCTGGGCAATAACTGAAATCCACCTATTTTTCAGTCAGAACAGGTTTAGAAGGACCTGGGCTTTCAGTTTCTCAAAAGATCTTGTACTGTATTAGCACTGTTGGTGGCCAATACTTATTGTCCCGATTGCAATCCTTTTCTGCTTTCCGTCGATGGGGTGATTCAGAACAGGTTACCTTCTAAAAATTATTTCTGGAAACTTCAAATCCTTTTTGCCTAATAACTCCTGTTTTGTATCAGAGACCACTAGCACATCGTGCTTGGGGCATGGTGCAGCACGCTGAAGGACTATACAGAGCTGTTTCATTCTTTAACCTGTTGTCATTTCTTTATGGCGGAAGGTATCATTTCTCTACCTGTTTAATTATGTTCATTACTTTGTACATTCTGGGATTATGTAAACACAGAAGATATATTAATTATTTGCAATTGAGGAACAGTTTTAGTATTGTGAACATAGGCAGTCCATTATAGACGACATAGTGTACTTGAATGAGTTGGAATATCATATTTCAAGAACTGGCTAGCCATTTAAGATTTTGAGCATCCTGCTGGTTTTTTAATCCTTGCAAATATGTTTTTTAGCTTTCTGTGTATATTTATACAGGTATAAAACTCTTGTGGAAAGAATTCTGAAAGCAAGACTTGTGTATGGGAGCCCCAATATGAACAGAGCAGTGAGCTTTGAGTACATGAATCGGCAGCTGGTTTGGAATGAGTTTTCGGTATATCTCTTTTTTGCATGTACCTATGTGAAAAATAGCTGGTAACTAGAAGTTTCCCTGTGATGTATAATGTATTACACACTACCTAGATGAAGGCTTTTGCATGTAGGGTATGCAATATGACACCTTACATCTAACTAATGTATGTCACATATATTTCTGAAATTCTTGGGAACTTCTAAACTTTCTAATGTTCCTATCACATATAAAAAGTAAATTTCTGTTAAGGATTAATAGCTAGGAAATCTGCAATTAATTCCATTGTTCAGTATTTCTACTCTAGTGGTAAATGTAGTTCATTTCACACTTCACATGCATTCTGCATGTCTAATTAATGTTAGGTACCAAAATTAACGGATGTATCACTTCTCTGCAAGTACTTAATTATCCAACATTTTCTCATCTATGCAACTTTATATAAATGCTTCTGCTTACTCGAATCCTGAGATATCAGGATGCTAGTCTTAAAATGTTTGAGAGAACCTTGATTGCATGCTTCCTATTCCCAATGGAATGATTCTATATGCTAGAGTGTAGAACTTCAAATGACTTGGTTTGGTATTCAGTAGCAGTGGCGGATCTAGTGGGGGTGGCATGACACCCCCTCTAGAAGTGCAATCTTATTTTTAATATACAACAATCTGATGCTATTTAAGGAGTATTTGCTAGGATTATGATGATTTTTAGATCAAATCCCACTGTTCGGCACCCCGGTGCTATGGTTCTAGATCCGCCACTGCTCAGTAGGACGTTTCATGGCGTACTTCCAAATGGTGGCTAACATTGCTTACTTTCTGCAGGAAATGTTGCTTTTGCTTCTGCCCCTCTTAAACTCATCCTCAGTAAAGAAGTTCCTCCTTCCTTTCTCTAAGGATAAATCAGCAAGTTCTTCTGGTGACGAAGCAAACTGTCCTATATGTGTCTCTAGTCCTAGCATTCCCTTTGTAGCTCTCCCATGTCAACACAGGTACTATACTTATTTCCTCTAGTCTTTTGTCATATATTCCATTTGTGGTATAGTTGATACACTTGTTTGATTTCGTCTTGAGTATTAACTTGACAGTCTTTACTGCCAACTACTTCCATTTAATGCACTTCACCTTTGGGTCACACATATAATCCTGAGAAAACATTGTCCATTTCGAATTAGCTGGTAATGGACCTATGCAGCCCCAAACCACATTTTAGCAGAAGTGCCTACATAAATTGTATTACAGCGCTGAAGCTAAACCTTAGATACAGAAGCAGCCGGGCATTGCTGTTAAATTTGCAAAATAGGAGTATTAGTTAAAGAGTTTATGAATAAAGGCATCAACACTTGGCACTGTAAAAATCCTTCTTGTCTTGAGGCTGATCGTAGATTAGTTGTGTCATGTGGCAGTATTTGCTACTGGCCATAGTCATGCTTTAGTGGAACATCATTTTGATATGAGGCAGCACTTGTGCGCAACGCACAAAATATTATTACGTGTTTGTTTCCCACCAAATTACTGAACAACATGTCACCTTGATCATTATGCCAGTCTTCTTGTATCTCAATATGTTTTGTGTTAGCTTTTTGTTAATAAGAAAATTCTTTGTTGCTTTTAGGTATTGTTACTATTGCCTACGAACGCGCTCTGCGGCTACAAGTTCTTACAGATGTGCACGCTGTAATGAGGTTGTCGTTGCGATTCAACGACATGGATCAAGTTAGTTGTACTTGGGCTCAAGAATTCTTGCACAAACCCGCACCCTCTGTTGTAAACAAGAACGCTTCTTCGCCCACCACCAGCAGATTTTTGAAGCTCCGGTCTACATATTACTGACCTGAAGCAAAGACAAATTGTTGTATGGAAACTGGTGGTGTAAAACGTCATGTTTTGTTTGTAGAAGCTATAGAGAAGTCTGCGAGATGGAATTCTGGGTCTGTGCAGACAAAAATATGTTCTTTTTAGAGCAAGAAGCATGTAGTTTGTTTTTGTGGAATATAGTAATTTTCTGGAATATAGTAATTTTCTGGTGATTTGCAGTTTAGCTGGGTACTGTATATTTTTATGGCAAGAGCCAAGAGGTACTTCAAATTGTACCCGAAGTCCCTAGAAGCCGCGATTTGACTTCTAAATCATTTATGAAAATTTATATGGGTTTAGAAGCCATTGGAATTGTAAACAAGTACACAAAATCACCAAAATAGGTGATGAAAGATACACACACCGTTTTGGCACCCTCTGCATTTTCTGGCCCATCCTCTACTCCTAGAGATTTATAGTGTATGATGAACAATTTTGGACCCACATAACTGGTTAACGCTCGCTAGCGGTATGGCAACTGTTAATGATTTTGACGCTGAGGATGACAATTTTAGTTAGTAAGCATGACAATTTTGCTTCAATGTTGTTTTTTTATCAGAATTTGTTGTGCTTGCAAACTAAAATTGTCATTAGCGCGGCAATATAAATTGCCATAAAAAATGTTTGCAAGTACTCCTTCTGTTTCAAATTACTTGTCACAAAAATGGATAGAAATAGATGTATCTTTTTCGATAAAGGGCAGTTTTCATTGATTCATAATGTAAGGGGATACATGCACTATGAACAGGCCTCTGCATAACTAAGATGCACACAACCAACACTAACACACACACATAATCTTGCTAGCAGATAGCAAAGTCATACAAGACCAAAGCTATGACTGAGATGAAGAGAAAAAAAAAAGCAATCAAGACCGTGAACGAGGAAAACAACAGCGGCCATGGGCATCAACCACCACTTGACAATACAAGGATTACGATAAATGTCCTCTAAAAGCAACGTCTTCAAGAAGGAAACGGCGCTCAAGCGTCGCCGTTGCCTGCTCCAACCACTGAAGGCTAGATCATGGGCTTTCACCCTGGAGATAAAGTCTGAGCACGATCCAAGTAATGTCTTCAACAAGATAACGATGAAAACCATCGCCATTACCAGGTATAACAGACCAGGGTCACACCTAGTCACACCTAGGATTTTCACCCCGGAGCTCGAGACCGGGTACCTGAGAAGCACCACCAAAACCGAAGTCATCTTGTGTTGTCGCTTCCACTTTCCACTATTCTAGCAGCATTGCACACGCGATAAGGCCACTGACAAAGGTGAAAGGTCATTGACATCGCCAAAATCCCTTGGGACGCTCTCGCAGCACCGCAACATCCTCACAAGCGGCAGTCGGTGATAGATCTATATCAGACGACACCACCATACACCGTCTCTTGCTTTGACGCCCTCACAAGTAGTGTAAGTTCACATCACGTCATCCGTGAGTCCGAGCGGAGGACCGCCTCACGGGTACACAGATGGCTACGATGGCACTGGCAAATCTCAGATCACGGGATCACGGCTTCTGAGAAATAGATGTATCTAGAACTAAAAATATGTCTAGATATATGCATTTCTGCGACATGTAATTTTGGACGAAGGGAGTACCATCTCTCCCAGCGACAAGTAATCCTGGACGAACGGGAGGGCAAGCGGCTGAGGGAATGGATAAGGAGAGGTGAGATGCGAAAGTTTTCTCAGATCTGATGTGGAATCGAGTTTGCTCCAAGATTTGTGCTGCGAGATCTGGCGGCTATAAGGAGCAGTTCGCTGGGAAAATGTTCCCGGGAAATGTCAGCCAGATTGCCGAAATGGAATATTTCGTGCGTGCGGCCGGCCTGCAGAGTGCAGACACAATCTTTGCTACTGGGAACAAAAAAGATCCATCTATCAGCTATGCACTGATCACTCTTTACCTTGTTTAGTTGCATGAATCAGCAAATTCACAATTTCTATTTTTCTTTTAGAAATTTTAGACCTAGCAGCATTCTCTGGTAGAGTTTTTCATCCTAACGTGCAAGCATTGATGGACCGGTGCATCAGTGCTTGAGCGCAATGTAAGCCCCGGTCCCGGCGATGGCTCCGAGCGGCGGCGCCACCATGTAGACCCAGATCTTGGTGTACGTCCCGGTGGCGATGGCCGTCCCCAGCGTCCTCGCCGGATTCATGGACGCTCCCGTTGACTCCCTGCTCAAAGTCACATACACGCATGCATTATGTCAGATACATAAGTAATTTATTATAGTACTAGCTACGTAAAATCAGTTGGAGTACAGATTCATTTAACCGTGGATGGATGGATTGATTGATTTCACTTACGCAGAGATAAGGGCGTTCATCATGATTGCTGCCCCGGCTGCCACTGCTATCAGCTCCTTCACCTGAAGAAAAGAAACAATGGCCCATAACGTCCAATTCATCATTAAGCTGGTGGACAAAAGGCAAGACCATAGTGCATATAACTGAGCAAATGAGATCGATGAGCAAGGAGATGTTATTACCGCCTTGGGATCGGTGGCGTGGGCGACGATTACGAAGAGGAGGACAAAGGTGGTGAGGAACTCGACCAAGAAGGTCCCCGCGGTGCCGAGCGTGGGCACGGTGGCCACAATGGCGCCGGGGTTCGCCGGGTGGTAGACCGCCTTGGCCACGAAGGACGCGGCGATGGCGCCTAGGAACTGCGCGGCCATGTAGGGCGCGAGGTGGGCGCGCGGGAGGTAGCCGTACACGGCCATGGAGACGCTTATCGCCGGGTTCAGGTGGGCCCCGGAGATGTGGACCAGCGACGCCACGAGCACCGTCACGGCCAGCCCCGCCGTCGCCGCCACGCCCAGCAGGCCCAGGGCGCCGTCGTGGGTCGCGTTCATGATCAGCGCCGACAGCAGGACGAAGAGGAGCAAGAACGTCCCCAGCAGCTCCGCCAGCACCTTCTTCACGAGGAGCACCGCCGCCCTTTCGGCGCCGAGGGTCGCGTGGCCGCCGGGGGATGGCTTGGCCATCTCGTCGTGCAGCGGCACGATCTTGAAGGAAGGCGAGTTTCGAGGCGCCCTCCTGTCGGTGTCGTCGCCCACGCCGCGGGCAGCAGGGATGCTCAGAGAAACATCCATGGTCACGCTCCTGCTCAACTCCATCCTCTGGTTAGTGATTAGTAATTGTACCAACACAACACAGACTATCTATCTATATACCTGATCGAGCGAAGGGCTTAAACTGGATGGATCGAGGTGAGTTCCAATGATGCTTGGGGAGGTGTATATATATGCAACAGAAGCAGAGAAGGCAGGCCTAGGTTAATTTGCGTTTTGGCGGGCACGGCATGCATTGTGGATCATTGTCCTTGTCCATACAAAAAGGTACACATCCGATTAGCTGCAAACCACTGGCCGATGAGCCTATGATTGATCCATCGACGACACATGAGAAAGTGAGAATATGCGCTGAAGCAATGTCCTTGTCGATGTCTGGCGTGTTCATTCCCGTTTTACTTGGTCAGACATTCCATAGGCATCTTCTTGCTCCTCACGACCAGGTCGACCGCCTTGACGTCTGAATTCTCTCATGTTTCGTTTCTGATGATGGGAGGAGGGTTTAGGGGAGGCCATATGTTGGAACCAGGGAATGTTCTCAGTTCCTCTAAAATTTATATGCCAAACATTCCCTTGAATAAGGAGCAGAGAGAATGACGGACACATTTTATTTGACTGTTACCTGGCTGTACTTACTTGAAAACTATATTAGCTAAAGTGTGGCTGCCATAAAAAAAAGCGTGACCAACCGAATGAATGTACGTCACGATCGAGTGCGGCAAGCTCAGGCTGATCGACAAGATATAAGACAGTGATATGTTCAGCCATGGTTCAAATGATGTATTTGTTGGAAATATGAATAATTTATCATATGATTTAAATCCACATAAATAGTAGATGAAACATGACTATATAGTAAAGATGAAACAAGTCATGCAATCTAACAGAGAGAAGACAAATAACATCTCAAGATGTGAAATAGAACAGAACATATCTAGAACAGATACCAGAAGAAGAAACTCTGGCAGGATCTTGAACAGAACAAACACGAACGTGTACTGAGTTGCTGCAGTAGCATTGACGTTGGCGTTGGTGTTGACGCTGTCGCCCATGTCATCAAAGAGGTTGTCGACGTCGGTGAAAAAGTCATTGTTGGGGAAGTGGTCGTCGGGTCTTTGGCGCCAGTGATGAAGAGGTCAATAGTCGTGCAGAGCATTCCTAAAAATCTTATCATCTTTCTCCCGTACAAGACTCAAAGAGGTCGAGTTTCGAAGGCCTACTATCCTGACCTGTGGAGCACACCGCAAGCCCGTATGGAGAAAATTTAGACAACAGCTCGGCTCATTCCCGCAACTCGCGGCGCGCACGTCGTGACGAGGCGAGGCGAGGCGTGATGAAGCAGGCGGCGGCGGAGGAGCACGTTGTATGTCTCTCTTCTTCTCATGCTCATACATGTGAGGAAACAACCTCCCTTATAAGAAGGTCCAACTTTTACTTTTTTTTCAGTAACCAATCCAACTTTTACTATGTAGTATTAGAGTATATATTCGGTTTGTATATTTGGTAGTTCAAGTTGTAATCTATCTCTACTATCCTTGGCCCCCAAGTTTTGTATCTTATATAAACAGCCCTTCGAGGCCCTAATACATATTCAGAATTCAATAATCTTTATGGTATCCTTCGCCTAGGTTATCTCCTCGACAAGGCCTCTCCGCCGGTCCCTGTAACACCCCGGATGTAACTTTCCCAATTTGTACTCCAACTCTTGCCGTTTCCGGCGTTAAGTTATTTTATTTTCTCGGATTCGGGTCTTTGTCTCCGTGTGTTGTTGTCGTTGTCATGCATCTCATATCATGTCATCATGTGCATTGCATTTGCATACGTGTTCATCTCATGCATTCGAGCACTTTCCCCGTTGTCCGTTTTGCATTCCGGCGCTTCGTTCTCCTCCGGTGGTCATTTCTAGCTTTCTTTCGTGTGTGGGGATTAAACATTTCCGGATTGGACCAAGACTTGCCAAGCGGCCTTGGTTTACTACCGATAGACCGCCTGTCAAGTTTCGTATCATTTGGACTTCGTTTGATACTCCAACGGTTAACCGAGGGACCGAAAAGGCCTCGTGTGTGTTGCAGCCCAACACCCCTCCAATTTGGCCCAAAACCCACCTAAGCCTTCTCCATCATCTAGATCGTTCGATCACGATCGCGTGGCCGAAAACCGCACCTTATTTGGTGTAACACCCGGATGTAACTTTCCCAATTTGTACTCCAACTCTTGTCGTTTCTGTCATTAAGTTATATTTATTTCTCGGGTTCGGGTTTTTATCTCCGTGTGTTGTTGTCGTTGTCATGCATCTCATAGCATGCCATCATGTGCATTGCATTTGCATACGTGTTCGTCTCATGCATTCGAGCTTTTTCCCCGTTGTCCGTTTTGCATTCCGGCGCTTCGTTCTCCTCTGGTGGTCATTTCTATATTTCTTTCGTGTGTGGGGATTAAACATTTCCGGATTGGACCGAGACTTGCCAAGCGGCCTTGGTTTACTACCGGTAGACCGCCTGTCAAGTTTCGTATCATTTGGACTTCGTTTGATACTCCAACGGTTAACTGAGGGACCGAAAAGGCCTCGTGTGTGTTGCAGCTCAACACCCCTCCAATTTGGCCCAAAACCCACCAAACTCTGCTCCATGTCCTAGAGCGTTCGATCACGATCGCGTGGCCGAAAACCGCACCTTATTTGGACTCTCCTAGCTCCACTTATGCCTATAAATAGCCCTCCCGTTTTCGGATCTCGGATCTCTCCCCGTCCAACCCAAAAAAAAAAAACTTCTCCGCGCCGACAGACATGTCCGGAGCCTAGCCGAACACGTCCGCCGCCGCCTCGCGCCCAACCGGACGCTGCCACGTGGCACCGGCCACACCCGCCGCCGCCGGGC